GCTGTGTCTACGACATTACCCCCCTCCAGGTTGGAACAACCGTTGTAAGATTGTGTATGCAAGATAAACGCTTGTGTAAGTAGGATGATCAGAAAAACCCTGTAGTAAAAAACCCTGTGGGAAAAATTGAATAGGGAAAAGATCTTCCTAAGCGTGTCGACGTTGTCGCTTATTGTTGGTCTGTGCGCTAGCATTGTTGTTGGCAGCTCGTTTGCGTTGAGCTCGTGTAGCCTTAGCCTCTTGTTGTACCTGCTTTCTCTGATCCCAATATTGAGAAAGGATACGCTCAGCATTGAGGTTGTCCTGTGGTTCCCAAGTATTTTGTGCTTCAGAGTATCCCTTCCATTTGATCAAGTATTGATAATGACCAGGACGACCTTTATGATCAAGAATGCGTTCGACTTCATATACTTCATCAGATAAAGCAATGTCATCGGAAACGACCTTGATGTGAGAAGGCGGGACGTTGCAGGCGTGTTGTTGACCTGTTGCATCAGCTAAGGTATAAGCACCACCTCGATTGAGACCTGTAATACGAAAAGGGCCAGTGTATCGTGGCTCAGTTTTACCTGAACGATGCACGTTTTTGATGACCACCTTGGTACCAATAGGAAGAGGCTTGATGATACGATTCTTGGAATCATAACGTGCTTTCTCAGCGTCACGCATGCGTTGCATACGCTCTTGAATAGCAGGTATCACAGCTTGCTCAAACTGCTCAATGTCCTCTTTACGAAGCTCTAAAGCTTGTTGAGGTGACACGTTGGTGTCGTCATTGGTGTAATCGCAAAGCTTGTTTGGCTGCCTGGCAAACATGAGTGAATAAGGGCGTGATCCATGCAAAGGATTATGCTTGGAGTTGAGGAATAACTGTACGGTGGGAACGTAAAGATCCCAGTCATTGCTCTTGCCTTGTAAAAGTTTCACGATGCCTTGTTTGACAGTGCCAACCCAACGTTCAGCCACACCATTGGCGCGTGGATGGTAGGGTGTGATAAGACGATGATCCATACCAGAGACTTCAGTGATAGCCTTGATGAGGGTGTTGACAAACTCCGTGCCGTTGTCGCTCTGTAAGACTTTGGGAAAGCCATAATCTCCAAAAACAGAAATAAGAGCTCGGGCGATGGTAGGAGCCCTTTTGTCAGGAAGTGCTCTAAGTACACAATAACGTGTAAAGATGTCGACCATAACGAGAATGAAAGTACAGCCACCTGTTTCGGATGTTGGAAGCTCACCTAAATCGATGGCCCAATGATCACAAGGTGCGTTGGAAGTGACATGGTGCAAAGGATGATAGCCGTGTTTGCCGATGTTACCTTTTTGGCAAGGAAGACATTGGCTAACTATGTTTTGCGCATCACGTTTGATATTAGCCCAATGGATACCTTCGCTGTGTAAGTCACTCACAATGGCGTCAGCTGCATAATGGCCCTTAAGGTGTGAGTGAAGTAATAATTCATCTCGTTGATCCTCAGGTGGGGTCATCATATCAACCGTATCCTAGTGGCGGTGTAACCTAGCAACAGGTGTAGATGATCCATGCAAAGAGTCATGTGGAAGGCTTGTGGCTGAGTCTTTGTTTTTTGAAGACGTGGTGCCAGTATCACCCCCCTCCAGCTCTTCTTCCGGTGGGAATAAGCGCGATAATGAGTCAGGCAGCACGTTCAATACTCCAGGCAAATGAGCAACAACGAAGTCGTAATCGCAAATGACGTCAAGCCATTGTACCATCATGGGGTTCGCGATTGGTTGTGTATGGAGGTAAACGAGAGCCTTATGGTCAGTGTATAGCTTGAAGTGCTTGCCCCAAAGAAATTGATGATACTTGCGTAGGGCGTATACGATGGCCAATAACTCACGCTTGGTGGTAGAATAGTTACGCTCCGACTTGGTGAGAGAACGAGCCATGAAACCGATGTAGTGATATCGATCGTTGATGACTTGATAAAGCACAGCACCGATACCATTCTTGGATGCATCGGTGGCAACACAAAAAGGATAACGCAAATCGGGTGGGCTAAGAACGGGAGCTTCTTGCATAGCGGCCTTGATGTTTTCGAAAGCTTGATCATGTTCGCTTGTCCAAAGGTCTTGAAGATCACCAGCATTGCGCAACTGGTTGAGAGGATGAGAGAGGTTGGAATAACACGGGATGTGTTCACCAAAGAAGTTGGCAGCACCAAGGAAGCGTTGGATGTCTTTACCCGTTTTAGGAGTAGGCCACTTAGCAACATTGGTTACTTTACGTGGATCCAGAGCACGACCTTCAGCACTGACACAATAGCCGAGAAGATAGACACAGCGTTGAGCAAAATGGCATTTCTCAGGATTGAGGATGAGATTGACACTCGTAAGTTTGTGGATAACGGTTTGAACATGTTGAGCGTGTTCCTCGAGAGAATTGGAAAAGATGACGATGTCGTCAACAAAGGAGGCAACATAAGGAAGACCATGCAACAAGCGTTTGAGTACAGCATTGTAACGTTCACTGATATGCTTGAGGCCGAAAGGACAGCCAACAAAACAATACTTGATGTCATTGAACGTGAAGCTGAGCTTGTGTTGATCCTTGTCATGTACCTTGAAGCGATGGAATGCATTAGTGAGATCGAGTGTGGTATACACCGAAGCACCTTGCATCTTCTGAAAAATTTCACTGATCTTTGGAAGACCGGATCGTTCATCAGGGATTAAGCGATTGATGTGGCGTGGATCTAGACAAGGGCGAAACTTGGTGAATTTACCCTGTGCATCTTTTTTGGGAGCAAAAGTGATGGGACTATTCCACGATGAGTCTATAGGAGCACGTTTGATAACGCCTTCATTGGTCCACTTCTCAATCTGTTTTTGTAAGACTGGGCGAAGTGCAATGGGAATTGGGTACTGAGGACGATATGCAGTGGTGCCAGGTGGGGTTCTGAGATGTACAATTGATTCCTTGAGAGTACAAAAAGAGGTGATTGGGATATCCGCGTTGGCCTGTAAGAGAGGCTGAATCTTTGACATAAAAGCATTGTGTTCATCTTGTGAGCCTGCAGGGTCATTATTAGGCTCAGCATCATTAACAATGGGAGATGGTGCTTGCGGCAAAGCAGATTTTTCCCACGACATGGGTAGACCTACTAAATGAATACCAAAGCGTCCCTTGATATCATTGCCAATGCAAACATCAGCAGCGCCATGTAAAGGCATTACTTCAAAAGCATGAGAAATGGTTCTATCATTGCATGT